ACCTCACTTATGCCTATTTTCCTACGGCCCGTATTCCTAATTAGATGGAAAAGATTACGACTATTACCAATAGCCGCAGCTTTCTCCATCTCTTTACACTTTTCTACCCACCACTTCTCGCGGTTATTCCTCAGACTCTTGATGAGCTGGCGTTTAAGGTTTTTGCGCGCTGTGTCGTATGTGGCATCCGGAAGAAGGGGTCTGCGGGCGTCTAGCAGGGCAATGGAGGTCGACGAAATCCATCCCGTGTTTTGAGTTTGAGGCAGGGTCCGACGTTATTTTTATCGATATCTGCATAGCCTCCTTGATTTGCTTCCAGTGTTCATTGGGTCCTTCGGCTGGCGGTTGAAGTGACAGGCGATCGGAGAGATCCGCTTCGAAGGCCGATTTGTATGAATCGCTGACACTGTATCGCGGATATCCGTTGTCGGCAGCTTTTTAGCGGTTGTATGCCAGGTGTAAGGAGAACTTGGCTCGTAACAAGGCGTGGTCTGTATCCACAGCTGTTGACCAGTAAGAGCGGCAGTCTTGAATTGATCCCCTCCAGCGGTAACTGATGGCGACGTGGTCGATTTGAGTCCAGCGCTTTTAAGAGGTTGGCGGTTTCCATGTAAGTCGATGACGTTTCTTGTGCGAGAAGTTCGTGTTTGACAGGAACAATCCGTGGTCCGTGCAGACTTGAAGTAGGCGATCGCTGTTGTCCGTCCGGTTGGCTAGGATTGCATGTGGTCCGCCAAGAAGGCTTTCTGATTCTGGTCTCCATCAGCCCATTGAATGGCTCTCATAAACTGATGGATCCGTAGGTGGCTTAATCCCAGATGGTGCGATCCAGCAAACTTCTTTTCGAGATGACTAAACCAGGTTTGGGTTAACCCTCGGCTAGACGATGCACGGGCAGTGGAGGCAGTTAAACTTCAGAGAGTGAATGAAATTTGCTGCCTGATCGAAGAGCCATAGCGGATTTTTTGAAAACTGGCAGGGATGCATTAATCCTTGGGTTACAGTCATTCCCATTGAATGATGCATGAGCTGAGAGATCCATTGCCAATTATGCATCAACACCGTTGCCTTGCAGTCCGTAATTGGGTATGCAAAGGTTAGACATGCGACCTCCGAAAAGCCTGGTGAGTTGGGGGATGTTTATTGCAGCGAAGTAAAGTAGCTGTCCTGATGGAAGAATATCAGATAATGATTTCACATAAAATCATGGAAACATCAATCTGGGTCACTAGGATGCGCCAATTTATTTTTTTCTTACACGTCTGAGTTCAGACTGTGCCAAACAAATCACGGTACAATAATCTTCATAAAATTAAAACAGATCCACGCGTCGATTTGATAGTTGTTTAACCCGCACTCCCGGTTGAGTGCATGCTGTGGTAATTCGGACGTCTTTACCTTTTGGTCAGGAGGCACGCCGGTCAAGTCAGAAAGATGAAGAGAAACTTACATTGCTGGAAACTGGATTATATCTGGGAACAATACACGCGTCCCATTGAATATCCGCATCGATTATACCGATGTCAGATGTTTGATACTAAGCTTTGCGTGGCTGATATCTGCCAATATTTTACTACTATCATTATTATCGCACAGCGAACTACAGTGAAACGAACTTAGCTGATTGTTGCCAAGCTTGCAATATGCACAAAGTAAGTAGCAATGCGTAAGACGCATCAGAGACGGAAAGTGAACCCTATGGCCAACACACAGAGCACACCATTCAACTGTACATACATAACTTTTCCAGCATTCTGACCTGATAAGTATTAACAACAAGAACATTACTGCTGTCGGTCAATATCATCATGATCATCGTATAGCGAAACACTGTGAAGCGAACTTCACTGATCATTGCAAACTCGCAATGCATACAAGGTAAGTGAGAATGTATAGGAAGGATAGAGATTGGGCCTCGTTTTAGGGACGGGGAAAGAAAGTTAACCTATACGGTCAATACACAAAATACTCAGTCCAACTATGAATATACATTATTTCAAGCAGTCTGGTCTGATAAGAAGTGACAACAAGATCACCACTATTGTCGGTTTGCTGCCATAACCTCCAGTGTCTCCAACCACTCAGTGGCGTAGTTTGTTGGACTCCAACCCGGAAGATGAGAGACACCTAATCTACCTAATCGCTTTGAGCATTTCCTCATGCCTCGTCTCCGCGCCTTTCTGGCTTTCTTCAGTCTACAACGGCCAGTGCAGATAAGGCGCGGTGAAGTAGGCAACCGTTAGGTGTATGCAAAACGTGCCCCAGCCAGCGAAGCCTACTTATTCCAATTAGATGTGCTAATGTTAATGGATGTGAAATGTAAAAAAACTCACTGGCTGCATCTGGGTGGTCTTCCGTATCCATGTCCTCCTCCGAATCATCAGGAGATCGAGACTCGGCCTTCGCTCCTTCCATCCGAGGCGGATAGAACGGCGGTTCATCCGNGGGACTTCGCGTTTCACAGCGTTTAATCGGGCGTTCTGGCGCATTGATTCCTGGAAACCAGCTCCAATTGACTTGTAAAATTCGGCTGTGGAATCAAAGATCACACCGGATGATTGGTCCGTGGAATTGGCGCGGCGGACTTGATCTTTGTCAACTGAAGCATTCTCTTCTTCTTTACGTGCCAGTAACTGAGCCGCGACCTAATAGGTGGTGGAGTTCACAGTTAGATGAGAGTTTAAATGATCAGAGTGCAGCGAGTGGAGTCAGTTGTTTGACGTTTTAGTCCATACACAACAATGAGGATGCACATTGTGCTGTTGTCTAGCCTGAGTGTTAATTAGACTCTGAAAACTAAACTGGCCATCAACTTGCAATGAAAGTCGATCGAAATAATATCAAGNTTCTTAACTGTGTTGAGTCTCTGTTTCACAGACATAAATCCCTCGTGTCGAGCAGAATGCACTCAGGTGTGATGAAATTTGACACCTTCAAAGTTAGCCTTCAACAATTACGTGAATCTGCTATGCAACAAGTCGATTACCGTGATGCACACAGATGAACCCTGAAACACCGCGTACTAGTTGTTTCCCAAAAATACGATTGGTGATTTTCTTCCGCTCCCCAAACGGAACGTTTTTACGATTTTTCTGTCTGAAAGCCTAATAAACGGAGATAGTGGACCGGAGATGTAATTGCTGTATCTAAGAATTTTTTCCACACAGCAATGGGAGTAAACACTCATAGTCACAAGCTTGATATAAATTGTGATGTATTAGCCTGTAGAAGAATCACTGCAAACGAGCTTGTTCACTACTTTGTGTTTTCTCACAAGCTTGATAGTTTTCCAGTGTTTACAACCATTAACCACGCAATTTCGCGCGCCGGTTTTGTTTGCTGTCTTTTGGTGCCCCATTTGGATAAAACAGCAGGATGAAGATTGGAAGCAAATTCAAGCGGAAGATGGAGAATTCATAGTCACAATGACCTGTTGTTCACTCATGAGAATTGGCACCATACGCTTTGGAACATGGAGTAGCAAACCACGTTAGGCATGGATGTGGTATTGATCCGGACGATAGTGCAGCTGCCTAACACCCACATTTGGGTGCTGATGGCGGGATTCGAATCTCGGACCCCAGGGTCCAAGGCACATCGGTGACAGTGACTTGAACCACCAAAGTAATGGGTTCAACAATGGTTAATGGTTTTTGGAACTAACGAAATAGATGAACACTACACACACAAACACCATAATATAGGTAACACAGTATTGTCACGGTAAGGGAACACTTGAAGCAGGCGAAAAAAGACACCCAGTGTAGTAAAGCCAGTTTTTGTTAGCGGCTCCCAGATGACCGCTGATCGACTTATAAATCACCACTGCTCTCAGTATGAGATCACATGATTTCCCAGACAGTCAAACAAGCACGTTGATGAACACAACAACAAACCTCTTCAGGTTTCAAATACACTGTTGATTTGGCCCGGATCACTCGCTGAATGGTATTCTCAATATCACCACGCAGTTCATCTTCTTCTTCTTCGTCACGAGGCAGATCCTCCAAAACTTCCGCATCTAATAAAATAAAAATATCGACAGTTTAACAGGATTACATCAAAGGCGACCGGCGGATTCAAACAAGATAGAAAAAAATCATACGTACATGTTACAAGCGGACGAAATAGCCTTAATACGTTTCTCAGGATGTACGGAACTTCAGGTAAAGTGATAACACTGATTCTCAAGGGAATACTAGGCGAACAATAGCCCTTCGGTAACCATTCATTTCACCATTAGCACTGCAAGCAAATGTGATATTGACAGTGGGTAGACGAGAAATCACCGGCAAATGATAGACCATTAAATGCGTGTATGGGTTCGCCTCGAATAAACGAGGTCAAGAGGTAATCTGTTTGCTATTGAATCACAATGACGATGTTTACGAAAATCTAAGGCTGAACGGATTGCTGCTGATGCATATAAAATGATGAAGGAATTCGCTTGATGTTGGAACCAGTTCAATAACATCATGGACAGGTTGGGGTAATAAGGAGTGGTTTTTAGTTGGATATGATCGAGAGTGAGCAAAGTTGATGGAAACGCAATCCGCCCTCGACAGGAAGGCTGGGCGGGGCTGATTCGGAATTTCACAGTGAGGATTTGCGAAATAGAGAATAAAAGGTTTCAAAAGCGAATGCTGGGTATCTTTCTGATGGAATGATTACCATCATCACAGTCAATACCCTACAGCGAGATCCAGTGAAGTAGATTTTCCCTGCCTCTGCAGAACAAGAAGTACAATATTATATTTAATTGCAGAAGAAAGCAAAGGTAGTCGGGACTGAAATACTGTTTTATTTTAAACGAGGACAATACCCTCGATTTTGCACCTTTTAAGTGTAAAACGCTGCTGCAATATTGCGTTGTTTCAGGCCCTGACTGGGGAAGTGGTAGAGGAAGTAAACAAATATTAGTATCTGGGTAGCTATAAACCACTTGGCGGACGGGTCACGGATGAAGTGTCGGCGTGCGTACATAAGGCTCGGTTGGCATTTTCCAACTTGAGACATCTGTGACCCCGTCGTGTCACTCGGCTGTCTGTGTAGGGTTGAATATATGCTGCAGCACTTAGGCCAGTCTTGCTCTACGGTGCAAGGACTCGACCATTACGCGAAAAGGTACATATAAATTGTCGTGTTCGAACAGCGCCGTCTACGCCGCATTGCACGAGTCTGGTGAGCAAACGGGACAAGTAAACGCTGAGGCTAGGCGCAGAGTTTTAGGTAACCGCGGTCGTCCACTGGAACAACTGGTCGACTTTCATAGATTACGTTAGTAGGGACATGTGTTGCACATGTCACCAAGTAGGTTGCCACGACGAACGATATTCACCGAGGTAGACAGCGGATGGAAAATAAGACCTGTCATGAGAGTATGAAAATCCTAACCAGGGGACTGGGTCACAAATACCGTTAGGTTCCCTGGATGGGAACCCCAAGATCATGGTCACCGATCGTTAGAGACACTGATTAATATGGCTGGGTGCCGCAGTGGCGCTCGTGCATCTACTCATTATTCTTGCAACCCGTCTTTATGAATTCCCTATCTTCCCCTTGGAGTTGCTTTCAACATTCCTATCTTCATTCTGCTCTTTTGTCCAAATGGACGACTAGAGACAGCAACTAAAACCGATGCACGAAAAAGCATGATTAGTGGTTGTAAAAACTGAAAACCGATGCTCTCATTGACTGCAATTGAGGCCCCCTACACAGCATTTGTTCGGAACAGCGTAGTCCTTCATTACTGGACGAATCACTAAGCGTTCTCATTTCCAAGCAGGGATTATTCAACAGCTGCGCGAATTATCACGGGATTAGTTAGGTTCTGTTTTGTGACACCCTTCAGAGAGACGAGTATTCACGGTTTTATTGATCAAATCCTTCCTGTTACGTCAAGTCCTCGAGATAGATCCCACATCGTTATTCAACGATCGCAGTGTTCCCTGACCAAAAAGGAACCTTCGACTCGGAAGGCCGTGAAACCCGGAGGGCATCTGGCACTTTCAAGTGCCAGTTTTGTTTGCTGTTACTTGACTTTCCAAATGTCCGGACATCAATGAAGGATCAGAAGGTAAAAGTATGAAGCTAAGAGCAGTACTAGGTTGAGGATATACAATTCAGTTAAACTAAGTTGACTAATGAATCGAGCAGACACATGAGCGTCACCGTTTACAACACTCAATCATGTCGCTCAGTGTCCTTTAGAGACGGATTTTGAAGTGTTCAACCGGAAAACGTAACGTGATACATGCAAGTCCCGGAGTCAGCATAAATAAACTCATCCCACATCTTTGTGTGACCTCGACCATTTTCCAACCACTACCTATCTTCGCTGAGGACGCCGACAGCTGGTGAAATACCTAACAACCAATCAAACCTGTACAGGTCAAATAATTGCGTCAGTGAGCGATCTTGATTGCCTGAAAACTCATCTGAACTCGGTGATAAAGGTGGAATAAAAATCTGTCATCTTCGATGTTTTCAGTCCATGGAATCAAAGAGCACAAGTGGAGGTAATTTGCTGAATCCGCTTATTAATATAAAATTTCACCAGCGTATGCCACACGCTTGATCGACGCTTCGGGTCCGCTGGTGTGAAGCAAATCGACCTGCTCTAAGCAAATACAACACAAATGCGAACATAAATTCGTGTAAATCAGAGAAATCTTACCGATGTTACTTTCCGTCTGTCCTCCAACAGTAGTTGCTATGACGCTCAACGGATCGGGCACGGACGGTCTCTCTTCGTCATGACCAGAATGACTCTCGCGAGCTGCCCGGCTGCCCAAATCCGACGTGGATGTAACCGGCTTTAATTCCTCGTCCGGAACGAGATCGTCCGCTGTGAGCGTGGTGCGGGCCCGAGTTTTAATTCGTTTCTTACGTTTTTTGAATTTCGCCTTCAATTCTTCCTCTGTGTAGTATTCGGAAGCCACTCGGAGTTCTGTATCCGGGAGTGATTGCTTTGGTGGAAAACGAATTGGAAGTTTAACAGGTACAAAAACACATCCCAACCAGTCATAATGGACAGATACAAAAATCGAGTGTGTTGTTTACAGCGTTTCATCACACTAACGAAGGACTATTACAACAGAGCTGTCTGAACTATATGGGACTCTAATCAGTAAAGATGAAAAAGGTATTTGAGCACTAGTTGTTTCTGATTTCACATGAAGGAGTTTGAAACTAAGAATATGAATACTCAAAAGCATCTGTTTAGTTAGAAAGAACTATTCACGGTGCAAATTCACCTGAGTTAGAGAGTTTTACGAATCGTATATACAATATGCATCAACCTGGAACAGTGTGCTTTTTGTACTTCAACGAAACTACTGCTCCTTTGTTAACAAAGGAGCAGTAGTTCCGTTGATATACAATGAACAGTGAAAATTAGACAAAGCGGGAGAGACTGCATCTCACCTTTCCGGCTCGCATTTCCTCTTGAAGTTGCCGAAGCATACGCTCCGTTTCTGGGTTGTACACCCCCGTTTCACCCAGAGTGAATTCGTCTTTTCGTACGCCGTTGATCTCGTTATCGTATTTACTCAGAATTTCTTTCTGACGCAGTCCAAGTAGAACATCTTCGTCTTCCTGATCTGCAATACCAGCCAGTCCGGCTGCTTTACGAAGATTTTCCCGATTCAGTTCAGCTTTCTCCTCATCGACCAGATTCACATTGATCAGTACGTCCGCGTCATCATCTTCCAAGATCGCTTGACGAGCGAATCGGGACCAAAGACAGATTGGGGACAATGGATATGAGTTCACAAGTTAGCATTCGCATATGGTCACATAAATCGGAGAGAAACTTGAAACGGATTCGGGGATACTCATAAAATTACGTCATACAACAAAAGGCACTTGATTCAAGTGTAACACAATTCCAGTGCAAGAGCGGAAAATGTGTAGACAAATGAATAATGAAATGTTTTCACATTCATTCGCATAAAAGGAGTACCATTCCGGGAGTGGATAAAACATACAAACAGCCGATTTCTCAACGAGCATCTATAGTTTAACTACGGGAGCACGGGTAGCACTGGATTATGCTTCATAGACTGGAAATATTAGGATACTACTTTTTAAAATCAAATGATTTAGTCAAATTTTATTCATAGGACGGCACCAGCTAATCGGTTGGTCGATGGTAGTGATGGAGGGATTCAAATCATTATCACTGGTGTGCTCCCGTCAAGGTCCGAGATTCGAACCCCTTTACCGACAATCCAATTTGGTAGTAGCTACCTAGGTTCACCGTCATCTAGCTCAATGTCACGTCTGTCCAACATGGGACTTAGGTATTCTAAATATCGAGGCCTGGGCTGTCGTAAATCATCAACCGAAAACGGTTGTGAAACCTTAACTTAACTGAAAATGTGATTATCTTTACTGGGAGTTCACATCACATCATATTATGATGTGTGGTAAAAATATCGCCAATTGATAACCAACCCGATGCCCTAACCACAAGCTGTTTTAAGTAAGGACTATGTCGTTTGACATCAAAAATGAAATGCATTTTGGCGTGATGCAACTTCGTCACATATGCGGCTGAGTTGTAAGTGGACCCATTTAACAGTAACTTTGCACTACTGCACAGGTAAACAATAAGAATTTCATACGATAGCGGTCGCCGCGGTCTAATCGGTGCAGCAACGATTATTGCATTAGTAATAAACCTTGAGCTATAACCCATAATTATTCCAACTTCTATCTTATTATTTCTATTTTGTCTTTATCCCGCTTCTCCTTCATCACCGTCTGACCCATTACACTTCCAGCGCACCTTGATGCTTACTCATCCAGATTTGTTGTTCAATAATACTGTGAATGAGTTGTCCAGTGTTGATGCTAGACAGTTGGTCATTGTGATTATGCGGGACAATGCTAATATCTCATTCATGTGTTTTAAAAGTTGCCCAACTGATTAGTAATCATCACAATCTGTGTGGATATACTGTGCTACAATCGGCACCGAAGACCGATTCGCCTGTATAGAATGATTAGGTGTTTAGAAACCAGAAGCTCAGCCTGGGGGAACAGATAAAAACGAATAATATTTAAGAACATACGATGTAGGTGAATGTTTCCGGTAAATTACTTCTTAACCCTTACAATCACATTTATATGAAACAACTTCAAACAGAAAGGTAGATGAATCATGTGTTTGGTAATGAACCCGAGAGAACTCCAAATCGGCACGCTGTTTGGATTGCGTAACCAAAATTCGTTATACTACGTTATAGTCATGTGACCAAGCGACTTTATCTTCCCTTGGCCAGGGAAGTTCAAGAGCTTGGATCAGTTTTGATTGTGCGCACAACTCAGGCTTCATGAGTTGGATGGTAATCAAATCTGCGGTCGCTAACGTCCGAAATCGTATCTCTCTCGAGGGGTGTGGTAACACTCGGCAAATGATTGTAAATGCCGCGTGTACTTCAACCAAGTGTCCCGTCTCTATCAGATGAGCAACGATCTAGCTTTATACAGCTCCACTCCCACCTTGTGTGAACCAGCGTGGATTGTGTTCTTTGATACGTTGAGATAGCTGCCTTTTCGTTCTACCTACATAATTCACAACACAGATGCACTCAAAGTGAGAGATAACCATAGATGAAGTCGACATCTTCGTTGTAGCATCGGATGTTTGGTGAGGTAGAGAACACATGTTTTAGATGAGTGGCATTAAAGATGGATTACACTTCGGCGGATAAAATTCTAATGAACTCGTCAGCGGCGACATCACCTTTGAATAGGAGTTTTATAAAAAGTATTTTCTTCTCTGCTTTTGGTATTTTGTTGGTTTGTTCTGTTCAGTTCAATTATGGTCGGTAAACAGCTCAGGATAGTCGTTTTCAATAAGGTTCTCCTTATTAGTTCAAGTTCATTAAAGTATCTCCTGAAGAGATGCGCCTTGTTCTCTGCAGGTGAAAGTGTACGATGTTGCCTTTTTGATGAAGTGGAACGAAGTTATGAAAATTTGTTGCTTTTCGATGTATCTTTCTTTCGATTGGGGCGTCTAGTCCGATTCAAAAACGGAAGGCTATCATTCTCCTCTGGTTCATTTGTGAACTTAACTGACGGGTGTGCTGCCTTGAATTCTGACTGAACAGGGGCAAGATTAGTGTCCTTGTTAGCCACGCAAAAGATATCATCTACATAACGGTAATATTGTTCAAAGCAACTAATAACCGTAGATAAGGAAGTTGTCCCTAACTTGGGCATGAAGATGTCAGCAACAACAGGTCCGATGATCGAACCAATAGCAACGCCATCGATTTATCGGTAGAATTTTATTAAACCAAAATTGTACATTTCGTGTGCATGTGAGTATGAGTTCTTTGAGAGTTGTGACTGAGACACTTGCAGATATCATTTCTGTGCAGATAAATTCGACTGTCTCTAACAGGGGAACATTTGTAAAGAAGAAAACAAACAGAACATCGGCCAGTTTTTTCTAATATTCACATTTTTGGTTATATCAACAAACTGGAAGGTGTCGCTAGGTGTAAGCTTGGTGACTCTAATCAGCCAACGGGCAGTTGCTTGGTGAGGTAAATTTGTCACAGAAATGATGGGACGCATTGGTATACCAGGTTTGTGTATTTCGAGTAGACCGTTAAAGCAGAGCAATTAAGAGCCAACAGGTTTGAGACCTTCGATCAAAAAGGTTGATGTGTAGCTTGATCTCTAAGCGGTTTTTGTGTATCAGTAATTTGATTTTCAGCTTTTCTCGCTGGACCCTTTTCGATTACATCGCAGGTAAAGTTAGTTTGATCAGATAGAAGTTGTGGCATTTTGGACACGTAATCGGCACGATCGATAACCACAATGCTCGCCCCTTTGTCAAGTTCCAGGGTTACGTTGTAGATATTCTNAGATATTCTAGGGCTTTCATGTGTTTTTTGCTTCAGAGGTCTTTTATTACGAACTTGGTAACGTCGGTATTGATAGAAAGCCGTAACCAGTGGCGAATAATACTTATTTCCATCATTACAAGAGATAAGTCACTTGAGGGGATACACTCCTGGTCCGGAAAGTGAGGGTTATGAAAAAGAATTGCTTATATTGAAAAAGTAAGTTTTCTTTATTACACACGGTTCTGTAAGTAACAGTAGACAGGGTATACCAAATAGTCACGAGGATCCGCTATTTTATAATGGAAACCGACGGCCTAAGCCCGGGGACGTGAAGTGTGAAATCACATAAGACTCCGCGAGTTAGACATGG